AGCATCCGGATAGGGTTCAATCTGAACCATTGATTCTATCCTTCCTTTAGAGAAATGCCCCATCCAGGTGACTCAGGAAGCCAAGTATGAAAGCGAGAGATGAGGCCTGAGGTCAAGTCTTCCGCAGCCAAGCTAAAGAGTTTTCTCGAGTGCATGTGTGATGGTTTTTATTGACAGGTGTCTCCAACAATGCTTACGTACCTGTGTGACTGGCCTTGGATGAGGTACCACCTCTAGAAGGATGTAAAGGGGCCTTTGGGGAGTTTGCAGCAGAGAGGTGAGACAAGTGTGTAAACATAAAGGGGCCAGGTTGTGTCCTCAGTTACACCAGATTAGTGTAATTACACGTGGATGGGTATCCACGGCATCACAGGGAAGCAGCAGGGAAGAGGTGACATTGGATATGTCCTGGCGCATTGGAAGGAGATGTGGGGAAGCCTATCTTGTAGGACAAAGATACATGCATATATCATGATCACAAAGGCACTAAGGTCTGGTCCAGAGGCCTTGGGGCTGGCAATGGAAAAGCAGAGTACATTGTAAAGCAGGTGTTAACGGGAGCCGAATACTGGACCATGACCTGTGCACTGCAATTTAAGTTTAGAGTACATTCCTCAAGATTCTTCCAGTACCACCGAGCTTCCCCCAACAATGCCTTTTCCACGTGTGCCCTCCTCCATGATTCTCACAAGGGCTGAGTCAGCCTTGAGAAGTTAGAAAGCCCATTCACTTATGAGTTCTTGATCTCCCATTAGAACATCAAGATTGCAGGGTATTACTGTGAGCCTGGCCAGGAACCCGTGGTTGGGGTACTCATGGGCCTCAGGGGTGAACCTGTAACTACAACCGTTCTGCTAAATGGACACAGTAGCCTGTATCTCTCCATCCACAGATTACTGCAGCTCTCAGACCTCATCAGAGAGGTTTATGCAGTGGGTAGTGATTAATGTAGAAACCCAAAATGGATCAAAGTGCAGAGATTGTCTCATACACACACACACACACACACACACACACACACACACACACACACACACTCCTCTTCAAGGCTCAGGGACCACTGGGGAAAAAAAGAGAGAGGTGGAAAGACTGTAAGAGCCAGAGTTTGGGGAGGACCTGGAGACAAACAGCATCTTCTGTGTAGGACAGAACCACAGCACTGATGCGGCTCACGCGCTCACAGCAGCTGTGGTTGTCTGCACAAGAGCTGTACAAGATCAAGCCAGTCAACGGTCTGTCATGGAGGGAGCAGGAGGTCATGAGCCTCTTCCCTAACTGAGGAGCTGTGGGCAATGGATAGCTTCTGAGAGAGAGAGAGAGAGAGAGAGAGAGAGAGAGAGAGAGAGAGAGAGAGACAGAGACAGTTTTCTTTAAGGACGTGAGTCCTGGTGGGTTGACCACATTCCTGTGAATAGTTCCACATTCATGAGGAGATAGTTAGCACAAACTGGACTTGGTGAGTTATTTAATAAAAAATAGAAGAAGAAGGAGAAGGAGGAAGAACTGGAGAGATGACTCAGCAGCCATCAAAAGCACTTGTTGCTCTTGCAGAGGACCTGGGTTCAATTCCCAGCACCACATGTGGACTCCCAGTTATCTGTTAACTGCAGTCCTGGTGGAGTCTGACGCCCTCTTCCGACCTCAGCAGGCACCAGGCACACACACACACAATGCACAAACATGCAGGCAGGCAAAATGCTCATACACAAAATAATAAATCTTTAAAGGATTTTTTTAAAGGACATGGGGAAAATAAATAAATAAATAGGTGGACATGAAGTTGGGAGTGGCCTGGAAGGTGGGAGTGGATTTGGGAGAAGTTGGGTGAGGAATGGGGAATGAATGTAATCAAAATACATTGTATGAAATGCTCAAATGATTTATAAAATAAATAATAATAATAATAATAATCATTTTTAAAAATTAAAGATAGGCACACTCCGGTCCAAACTCCAGCTCCCCACAGGCATAGCTGGATGGATTGTCAGGAGGACTGGGGATCACAGACAGGGCCAGCCACAGAGCATGACCTTCTGGAGAGGCCTAATAAAAGACAGTTTGAGAAAATGTGGACGGGGTGAAAGCTAAGGATGTAACCCACACATAGTCAACACCCACCTTAGGGAGTATGAAGCATGGGGACCAGAGAGGTCCACTCTGACCCAAGACCAAATCCAAATCTCTCGTTTAGACCTTAACTGTCAATCCATCCCCCTCCCTCTTCCTTTGATTTTTCAAGACAAGGTTTCTCTGTGTGTGGCCTTGGCAGTTCTGGAACTCCCTCTGTAGACCAGGCTGGCCCTGAACTCAGAGATCCACTTACCTCTGCCTCCTGATTATTAAAGGCTGGGATTAAAGGTGTGCGGCATCTCTGCCTGGTGCCTGGCTCTATCCAGCTTCTTAAATCTTCCACAGACACTTGAAACCACGGGCCCAAACAGAACTATCTTGTTCCCTAATCCTGTGGTTATACCTGAGAGTCTAACTCAGAGGAGAGCATCCAGAGGTCGCCCCGACCTTGCCCACATCCTCTTGTGGCTTTGTCCTCTGCATGGCCCCCGACTCGGCTGAGTGAAGAGAAGAGCCGATGTTTCCTTGAACTTTCCCGATAGAGCAGATCCAAACCGTTTCCACAATCCCTTCCCGTCCCATCCATTTTTATCTACAGCCAAATTTCCAAAAAAATAAATCAAGCCACTTAACTTCCTGACTGACTCCTCCCTGAGCCCAGAGAAAAGTCAAATGCTAGTAAGTAGGGTCTTCCATGATCAGGCCTTGGGTCAGGCAAGCAGAAACTGATCTACAGGCAATGTTCTGGTCCCTTCCCACCACCCTCTAGTAGACTATAAGAGCCACATTGGCCCGGTGACTCCTCAAGTCTGGCTGTGCCTCTGGGCCTCCAGCTCAGGGCACCTGCCCCTGAATAGATGGTTTGTGCCCTGGCAGCCTTTAAGCCAGGTGGAGAGCAGAGCCTGCTCTTTGGTTAGATAAGCCACCACCAGGAGGGAGGGTCACTCAAATCTGACGGGGCCCCCGATGCTCCCCAACTGAAGAGTAAATGTGAGCGAACCTCTGTTTAGCGTGCATAGAGGTACATTAGAAGGAGGTCATGCCGAGCCCTGGAATTGGAATACTGAGCCCTGGCTCAGCGTCACTCAAGGGACCCTGACGCCTAGGCTGGGAGGGAAGATAGGACAAATCCACACCTAGAAGCTCCATCTCTTTCTTGGGTTTCACAGTTTCAGGGAAATATATATCGGCTATGGCGTCCATGAAGCATCGGTGCACACAATACCACCAGCTGCCTGAAAGAGCCACACCCTGTTCCACCTTGCCCGCCTCTCCTCCAGCCCTTTCCTATCAGTTCGACAAGGATCTGAGAAGTGAGATGCGCCTATGTGCTAGATTTATGTTAACTCTTGTCCACGAGAGATTGGAGAACTCTGTGATTGGACACTGGATGATATGAGTTCTAGGGGCTCACTTGTAATCGTCCGGAAGGCTGGAGAAGCAGGCAGAAAAGGAACAGGGTGGAGAGAAGGTGCGGGAGGGGAGGAGGACCACAGCTACTCGACAGCAGAAGCACGCGTATTAGGCCATTGAGAAGCCACAGCTGGCATAGTCCATGCCACTGGCCCAGGACGCTGTCCGCGGTGCATTTGATGCCCCTGCACCCACTTCCATCAGAAAGACTTCTTCCCAAGCCCCACTCCTTCAGATAATGTTAAAATGGCGCACCCACCCTTTGGCTCAAGCCAGCTGAGAGCCAGGGCCTGGGAGTCTGTCTTGAGCACCCTCCCCCCACCCGAGGCTGACCCAGCCAGGTCTCTTTCCCTAAATCACCCAGATGTCTTCATCCTGTCTTCCCTCCCTCCCTGACCTGCCTTCAAGCTCCAATTGCTTTTCCCTAGACGACTCCCCCAGACTTCCTCTGCCCTACCTGCCTGCGGTAGAAATGCGACTTCAGATCCCAGCTTCGACCAACTAGATCGTATCAGACCAACCGTACTGCCAACCATAGCTAGAAAATTATGTAAAATGTGAACTTCTAAAATCCACTTAAAGTCGTTGGAGAGCTACCAAGACCGAAGGTTCCGGAAAAGCCAAGGTCCCAGAGAGGAGGGAAATGGAATCAATGAGCTTTGGCATGAGCCCTGTGAGCAATCTGCCCTTCTGTGCTCAGCAGCTCGGGCTTGGGGGACGAGAGATGAACAACACCCAGCGTGCTCTTGGGGAAATGAGGCCTGAAGGTTGAAAGTCTGTGTCACTGTACGTTTTAAAGCTACACACAGGACTGGCAGGTCCTGCCTTTGATAACACTGCTTTATACACTGTCTGGCATCCCCTTGAAATTGACCAGAAAGCCAGGCCCACCTGCAGTCCTTGCTGGACTGGAAAGGATGAAGCAGGGGGACCACCTGAGCCCATCCATGAGTTAAAAATGAGTCTGGGTAGCGTAGTGAAATTCCATCTGTCTGATTGAAAAAAAAAACAAAACAAAACAACGAAACAAAAGTCAGCAAAACCACCAGGGAAATCAAGAAGTAAGATCAAGAAACAGAACAAAACAAAACCCAACACACAAATAACATCAGTAGGTACAAAGGAGACCCAGATGGGAAAGTTATCCACCATGGCCTAGAAGTCCAAGAGGCGCTCATGAATTGCTGTTAGGTTTGGCTGAGCACCCTAGAACCCCCAAAGTCATGCTAATTTAAATAAAGGCCTGGGCGCTGGCGAGATGGCTGAGTCAGTAAAGTGCCTGCCAGACAAGCACAAGAGACCTGAGTTTGAATCTCCAGCATCCATTTGAAAAGCTCAGTGTAGCCTGTGATCCCAGTACTGGGAGGGTGGAGACAGGAAAATCCCTGGCGCTCGCTGGCCAGCCAGGCTGGCATAATCGGTGTGATCCAGGTGAAAAGTGAGGAAGACATCAGTCATTAGTCCCTGGTCTCAATTGCACACACGCCTGCATGTGCACCTGTGTGTGTACACACACACACACACACACACACACACACACACACACACACACACACCTTGTATATTTTTCACGCAGAAGAGATGACATACAAGGTTGCTGTCTGCTCTTTTTCTTCGGCCATCTCCATGCTTGGCTTTCATCCTCAAGGCAGCTTTGGGGCCCAAAAGGGCTGCTGAAATGCCAACCATCACTTCTGAAACCCAAAGAAAACTGAATACAGACTGTCAAAAGGGGGCCATCTCTCCTGGGGCACTGCTCCCCGTGCAAGCACCTCCCTAGAATCCCTGAGCACTGCTCTCTGCTCACTCCCATGTGCCTCTTCCATCATGAGAAACTGAGCTTCTGTGCCAGGAACTCACAGGCCCAGCAGAACTCTGTGAGCAGAATTAGCCACTCTGTTACATTCCCCCTTTAAGGGACCCCAACAGCACCCCTTTGTTAGACACCGAAAGCCCTTCCAGGTCTACCACCTCTCTCTCTGTCTCCTGTTCCTCCCCACAGATATCCTAGACTGTAACCAGCTCTGGAAATTGATCACTTTCAGAAAACACAGACAGGAGCCTCCGGGCTCTTGCTCCCTGGTTGTTTGTTAGCCTGGAATGCCCTTTCTCTGACAAGCCTGGCTCGTTCTCAAAGCTTCATTCAAAGGTCATCGCTTCGTGTTACTTTTTCCAGGTCTTTCAGTGGGAACTCAGGGTTCTCCAACTCTCCCTGCACTTGGCTCGTGCCTGGGTTGCCTTGGTTTGCAGCGATTGTTCCGGACTCAGGCTATCACCCTTTCTGAATGATGACCCTCTCCAGAGTAGAAACACAACTTACTTTTCCACCCCCCACCACCCCCAAGGCCTGGCACACAGTAGGTGCTTTGCTAGAGTTTGCTGAATGGATGAGGAAGCAATGAATACATGTAGTGGGTCCACCGATTTCAAGTGCTCCCTTTCACTAATGTGTACAACTCCAGACAATAAGCCCTCATGCACGATGCATTTGATTTTGCAAATTCTTTTCATTGTACAAAATTTGTTGAACTGTACACTGCAAAGAATGATTGATCTGAGCCAGGAAGTGGCTTGTGTGCGTAGCATTTGATATGGTGCTATGAAATCAGCTTCAGAGTAGCCCGGGCCAGTGAAGCAGTCCCAAGGCACTGAATTCCTTTCAGCAGGACAAACCTGAGTGGTCAGCATGGAGCACAGAAGATGCTGCATGCAAACCTGCAGCTCACTCATCCTGCAGCTCACTCATCTCCTGCAGTTCACTCATCTCCTGCAGCTCACTCATCTCCTGCAGCTCACTCATCTCCTGCAGCTCACTCATCCTGCGGCTCACTCATCCTGCAGTTCACTCATCTCCTGCAGTTCACTCATCTCCTGCAGCTCACTCATCTCCTGCAGCTCACTCATCTCCTGCAGCTCACTCATCTACTGCAGCTCACTCATCCGGCAGCTCACTCATCCTGCGGCTCACTCATCTCCTGCAGCTCACTCATCCTGCAGCTCACTCATCTCCTGCAGCTCACTCATCCTGCAGTTCACTCATCTCCTGCAGCTCACTCATCCTGCAGCTCACTCATCCTGCAGCTCGCTCATCCTGCAGCTCGCTCATCCTGCACGCACACCACGAAGAGCATGGTTGTTGACTCACGGGGCCTGAGACCTCTGGCAGGCTAGAACTGAGACTAAGGACATCTAGATGACAGACAAATCACCGTGAGTGTTGTCTGCTTACTATAAAATAGGACCCTGTTGCTATAAATATTTGGAAAAAGAACTCAGCGATGTCCACAGAACAGCAAGAGAACCTAAATTTGGAGGCAAGGCTAAATTTGGAATGTCCATGATTATCAAAACGTGAAGATGAAGCCATGGGTGGGAGAAGAGATCTTCAGGCCGAACATTAATTCATTAATTAATTAGCATTAATGGAAGAGTCAGCAGCCAATGCCACTCTGCCGGACTACCTTGGTTCCCTGTAGAAGAGTGTCTCGTTGGTGTATCTTTCACAGATGGCAATATTCCCTTCCATAAACACAGAGTAAGTTGCAAGCCCAGGTCCTTGGCAGCCAACACTGTATTTGTTCATACAGGTGACTCCTATTTATAGCAAATGGTTCTGGTTTGCATCATACTGTTTCTCTTTCAAAAATCAGTCAGTTTAAGGACAATAAAAGAATCAATGTATGGAAGACTAAGTAAGTCAATGTAATAATACACATGGTGTGTGGGTACAGAAAACAAAAGGTAAGCAGAACTCAAAGGGAGGCTTGGGAAGCAAAATACCCAGGGTGGAAAGTGGGCTTTTCCAATGGAGGGGAAGGCCAGGCAGGCTCTGAGGAGCAGGCAGGGTTCCGATGAGAAGGGAATCTGGGTGTAGGATGGAGGCCCTGGGAGGCTGAGGGTATAGGATCTGGCCCACCAATCTGATTCCTCTTGTAACAGGGGTCATCTAGTGCTTTTCAACACCGCCTCACGCTGTTTTCTAGGTGGCACCCATGCTCACCTGCCCTCAAATGGCCGACGCTTTGGAGGGGCTGTAGATGTGTAGCAGATGAGGTGGGGGCTGATGGAAAACATCTTTGCACACAGAGGCCCCGATCCGGAGTCCCAGGAAGTCAGCCCTGCCCGGCACTCTGTTCTCAAGCAGTCCTGCAGGGGCCATGCTACCCAGTGACAGAGCCTCTGTGTGTTCGTTCGCCTGGGGCTCCCCAAGGCCCACCCGGAGGGAGAAGGAGCAGCCCCAAACGTCAGCCTATGGGTCCTCATGTGAGACTTCCACCTTCCCTTATCTGTGCCTTCTGACGTGACTCAGGTCTCCTTGTCTGCTCCTTTTGCCCTGCAGACATGAAATCTACAGCAGGCCCCCTCGTCCCACAGACTAGATGGGAGGAAAGGCCAGGGGAACGTGTTCTGAGTAAGCAATCGATGTGACATTTCTGAGCCTGGCTGTGGTTCTGGCTGATCTGACCCGACGTGCCAAGCGAAGTGACAGAAGGTAGAGGCTCCGTGTCTCGGCATCCGATGCCATCAATCTAGACCCTGCTGGCAGCACTGGCTTCCCTTGAAAAAACATTTCAAAAGGAAAAGGTCACATCTATTTGTTTCTCCGTGTGAATGAATCCACAAAGCCAGAGCTGTAGGTCTTGACAGCTGCTTTACCCCTCCCAAGACAAGCCCTCTAAGCTTGGTGAAGCTTTCCAAGGCCAGTCCCTAGATCTGAGTCCACCCATCAGTCTGGTCCTCTGAGAGTTGCCTGCCTCCTATCGAGAAGCTTAAAATGTAATGGTGCTACACATGAGTTTGTATATGGGGGATTTAAAGCCTGACCTTTCCACTTACTAGTCTGTGACCTTGGGCTTAATATAGAACATCCCTGGACCTTCCTAGTGAAGCAAGTTTACTGGATAACTATACACAGTAAGATAGGCTTAGGAAAAAGAATGAAATCCTGCCATTGTTAGTATTGTGGTTGGAACTGGAGGATGTCACCTTAAGTAAAATAAGACAGATACATTGAGATCTTACTCCTATATGGGAGCCACAAAAGTTATATATATATATTACCTGAACTCCAGTGGATCTCACACCCTCTTCTGGCCTTTACAGGTACCTCTACTCATGTGAGCACACACACACACACACACACACACACACACACACACACACACACTTTAAAGCTTTCAAAATCCCTTTTAAAAAGAATATTTAGCACAGTCCCTGACACATAATAAATGGCCAATACAAACTGGTCATAATGTCTATTATGGGTAAAATCATCCTGAAAATTAGTTGTTTGGGTTGAGTTTTGACATAACACTAAGTCACTGAAAAATGAGTTACTCTAAAACCTGGTTGTGAGGGCCGGGCGGTGGTGGCGCACGCCTATAATCCCAGCACTCGGGAGGCAGAGCCAGGCGGATCTCTGTGAGTTCGAGGCCAGCCTGGGCTACCAAGTGAGCTCCAGGAAGGGCGCAAAGCTACACAGAGAAACCCTGTCTCGAAAAACCAAAAAAAAAAAAAACCTGGTTGTGGACAGCAACGATTATTTCCCACAATCCTGAGGGTCACCTGGGCCTTGGTGGGTAGATGTTCCACGATGCCCTCACAGTTACCATCAGAAAACAGCTGAGGTGGAGACATGAGGAGACACTACTGGGAATGTCATCTCAAATGAGTATTTTCTCACATGATTTATGCCTCAGCTGGGATAGCTTGAGCAGCTGGAGAGAGACGGGGCATCTTCCTCTATACCCCCATTCTCGTGATTAGCTTGGGCTTCAAAACAGCATGGTAGTTAGTCTTCAAGAAGTCAGACGTCTTCCATAGCTACTTGCTTCTCACAACATCTACGCATCTCAGAGAACAAGCTATATGGCGCCTGGCCCTAGCTTCAGAAATCTCTAGCATCATTTTCTCCACAGCAGCCACATAGGGCTAGCCCAGATACCCTATGGAAGGGAGATACAAGAGGGGATGGATACCGAAATCAGTTCCCTGGGACAATCTTGGAGAAGAGCAGTTACCACACCATCCTCCTGCCCTGCTAATACGTCACTGAGAAGAGAGCTCTGGACCCAGAATCAGATGCTTGAATGCAGCGGTCTTTTGTAACTGATCACTGTTGGGTCTCAAAGGCTGTCCAAACAGTCAGAAATGAGCTCAGCCTGGACTATAGGAGGATTTCTGGTGGTTAGATAAAAGCCAGAACTCCTCAGAAACTTGTGAAACCGGTTCCCATCTACCAAAAGGAGTCATTCCCCTTGTCTCTGACAGAAGGAACATCTGGCTAGGGCTGTGGGGCCTCCAGGCTCCCTCAGCATCACAAGTACCTGTTACACAGTTCAAAGTCCATGCTGGAGTCCTGGCCCTTCTCACCTCCTTCTCTACCCTAAAATCCCTCCAGTTCACAGGCTTCCCCTCCACAGCTACGCATCCTTCTTATAACCCAGCTATTCTCACTATACATATCTTCATCTCCCGCTCAGACTTATTCTATCTGTCTATCATCTATCTATCTATCTATCTATCTATCTATCTATCTATCTATCTATCTATCTATCTATCTATCTATCTATCTATCTCACCGCTCTCTCCCACTATCCTGCTTCCCTAGGCCCGGCCATGTCCAGTCTGCTTCTTTCTCTGCTCTGGACTCTTCCACAGGCCTCTGGCCGTTCTCTCTCACATTGGCAGTCTCTTCACTGTCCACCCTCAAACACACCCACCACCTGCAAAGGTCCCGTTTGCTTCTCTGTACAGTGGAGATGTGCCGTGCCCCACAAGTCACGGACGAGGACTAAGTCACCACATATGGAAAGGTCTAATGGAATACCCAGCACACCAGGGAACACATAAGTTTCCCTATACCAAGTGGGGAGAGACACTCGCCCCAACCCTCTTGTCTTCCTCTCTGGAGGGACCACCCTGAGCGCAGGCTGCCGTCACTCTCCTGTTCCTCATCTCTTGGTGTGTGCTCCTACAAGTTTCGTTTAGCTCAGCACCTGCTGGCTTCGTGGCTGGCGCTGAATCAGTAATGGATTGTTCAGAAACAGAGCTGTCAACTCACACTGCCTGGCCAGGCTCCTTCTGAATGGATCTTTTGCTAAATCTGGAATGAGTTATTTAAAAATTAAAGAAAAAGAAGCTTAAGCTCCCTGGGCTGAGAAATCTCCCAGGCGCTTTTGTGTTCCTGGGACCTGTGCTCTTTGAAGGCCCCCGGGAGCCTCACACATGGTCATTTGGGATTTAACAGAAATTACCAGCCAGCTGGAGAGAAATCAGATGGCAGGTTAGCGGGGACGATTTTTAATGCTGTATTCAGGGCATCAGAGAAAGCCACTTAGCCTCTCAGCGGTTGGCTCTATTCTATAAACACACACACACACACACACACACACACACACACACACACCCACACCCACACCATTATGTGCAGTGCTGGTCTGAGAGAAAGGCGATTGGAGGGCAGGAATAACCCTCCCAGGGAAGGTATCCGTGGCTCTATTTATACCTTGCCCTGAATTCTCCTCTGCTGACCCTCCCCTCCCAAGGTTCAGTTTCTAGATCTGGCGGGTGGAGCACCACGTCTCACGCTCCATCTGCGCCCTGAGCTCAGGCCACACAGCCACTCACTATCCACTGGACGCCTTTCTCTGCATGTCCCACGGTTACTTCCCCAAGCCTGCCTAAAGCTCACTGCCCACCCTCCGAACTCTCACCTCCTACACATGCCTTGTCCTGCACCAACCAACAACAGGCGTCTTCTGTTCCCGCTGAAGCTCACACATCCAGTCACCAGTCATCAATTTACTATGAGGATTGTCATTGGATTAAACATCTAACCCCCTTCCCACTCCACATAGGCCCCCATCATACCATACTGAACTGTGGGGGTAACCTCCCAATGACCTTCCTCTCATTTCTCTCTACATCAGTCAGTCAGGCCCCTCCTGGCCAAAGATAGGGTCCAGGAAGGAGATCGAGGACAGTCAATTGCTAAGCTTTCTAAGGCTCTTCTTCTCCCCACTCCGGGTCTTTTGTGCTTTCCTCTGCAAAAATGGAGAAGAGGATGGAATAAAGGCTTCTAGAAGTTTCTAAGATTTTTGAGGATTTTCTGCAAAGGAGATTAAAAAGAAGAAGAAGAAGCTGAGATCTGTATCTTACCACAGGCCTTAGATCTGAAAGGGAAAATTACCAACTCCTCCGCAGGGCAAACCAAGGTCCTTGATCTCCATACTCCAGTTGGCTCAACAGAAGGTGGCCATGTGGCCGAGCGTGTGCTACAAGTTTAAGAGTGGGAGGACTTTTGCAAACAGCTGATTTTCCACGACAAGGACAGTAAGAGGTCAAAGGCTTCTGTATGTGTCGAAGAGCGTGTCTGGTCAGCTTCTGGGGCCCAGTAGGTGAGGGAGGAGAGGGGAAGCTCTGTTAATACCCCACCCTCCACCAATGAGGAGACAGAAGCACTACTAACTCCTTGACCTGGCGTCCACACTGTAGGCTCTTCCCAGTGTGTGCACGAGCTCTACGTGGTGAATAGAGCCAACTGGCGCAAGCTGTGTCCTCTAAGTGAGGAAGTAAAACCCAAAGGTATCGAATAGTGTCATACGATTATGTAGCTAACAGCAGCAGAGTCACAATCATCTTCTAAGTCCTCTGGCCACCCAGGCTCTTTCAAGCCAGTGACACCACTTCCCACCCCTATTTGTCACACAGAGAGCTGTTGTGGGACCTGGTTCTCCCTGCTCTTTACAGACCTGTTGACCCCTCAGGCCACACTTGATGGTAATTGTCATTAATTACCACACCTCAATGGTAATTACACACGGGTAGGTGCAAGATGTCAAGGATCCCAAGGTAAGATAGTCCAGAATACTCTCTTTCCACTGGGGCCATTCATCAGTTGAGGTTGAGGCTGAGGGTGGAAGCGGACGCTTAGCAAGCACCTGTCCTGCTTCAGGATGGTGTACTGGAGGCGGCAACTTAATTCTCGACGGGGTCCTGTGTGATGACATCATTGCATCCATTTTTATGGACGACAAAACTAAGCGCGCGGCCCGCCCAGTGTGAGGTGAGACCGTATAAAGAACAGATCCTCCCAGAGTGTGGCTGAAATGCTTTACACCGTCTCTGTCCTGCCATTCCTGGAATTCTCTAATTTTCCATGCACTTCAGCCAGCATTCCTTGGAAGGAACAGCCCCGAGGCTCCCAAATTAAACTACTTGGAGTCGGTTGTCTCAATTCACTGCTGCAAAGAAAACAGAGAGAATGAATGGTTCCTGATAGGAGTGGAGGGACAGCTGGCCCTCCCAGGTGCCTGTCTGGAGATGAGAGACCGTGAGGCCATGACTCAGAGCTAAGGCCCTTGGAGTTATCTCCCCTCATCCAACTGTGGTCCCTGTTCCTACCCCAATATTCTGAGACCCCTAAATCGTAAACTCAGAAACCAGCTATCACCTCTTCTCCATGCCCCACAGGTCTGACCCTGCCCTAGACCAGGCCAGATTCTGAAAAGATGCAGCAACCCTCCAACCCCATCCCATAGTTCTTTCTTTCTTGTAAACATCTGTTCCCTCCACCCTCTTTCATAGCCCCAGGCCTCAAGCTCCACCCCATCTCTTCCCACCCCTCTTCCTGGCCTCATCTTGAAATCCAGCACTGGCCTCCTCCCTTTCACGAGACCCAGAACCATTTCATTATCTGTCTTGTGTCCTCAGGACCTAGCACAGTACCCAGCACAAAACACAGCCTCAGTACTATTTGATGGATGTGTGGATGAATGAATTAGCGAATGATTATAAGACTGGGTAGGCAAGGAGTTAAATATAAAGTAACCAAGGGACACCGAGGCTGTGTCATGGTGGCTGGGTCTCCTGGATTAGACAAGGGGCTAATTGGGAGAGAGCCAAGGAAACAAGCATTGTACCAGCGTAGCTGCGGCTCTTGGTGGTCAGAACGGCCCTTGTGATAAAACACGCTTGCAACATTTATGTCCCTCCTACTGTATCAGAAACTCAGACTGCTTTCTTGGTTGCTGCACATGTGCACTAAAGAAGGGTCTGCATCCTCAAAGACCCCCCACTTCATTATAAAATCATTTGCATTATGGTTTTGACTCCCTGCCCCCAGCCCACGCCCCACCCCCACCCCACCCCCACCCCACCCCCACCCCATGGACTTTTCAAGAGAATAATGGGAAGAAAAACCCTAGAAGGGAGATCTGGTCTACCCTGATTTGGGAGGTGAACCAGGTCAGGGTACCTTGTAAAGCTGTCACTCATTTCATGAATATTCATAAAATGCCTTTTAACATCCACAATACAGAACCCAATGGTCTGCCAACCACAGGCCTTTAGGGTCACCAGTCCCTGCCCCCCGCCTATCCTTTGCCTTATTGTGCTTTGCTTTGCTAAGAAAACTTCTTAAACTGCCTGTGTCTCTGAGCTGAAATCTCTCCTTCCAGACAAGAGGCGGGGGCTGAGGATGCAGCCCAGTTGGCAGAGTACTTGTCTAGCATGCAGGAAGTCCCGAGTTGGGTTCCTGACCTCACTCAAGCTGGGCGTGGTGATGCATGCTTGTAATTCCAGCAGAAGCAAGAAGATCAGACGCTCAAGGTCATCTCTGGCTACATATGGAGCTTGAGGCCCGCCTAGGGGAGGGGAAAGATTAAAAACTGGAAGAAATGTTCACCTAGTAACAAATGAATGGATGGGTAGATGGATGGATGAGCTAACAGTAGTACTGAGCAGTATTGTAATAACGATTTATGATCTTTTGCTCCCTGGTTCTTCAGTCCCTAATGAGCTCTCCAGTCCCTTCGGAGACTGAATCACTCATTCTGTGCTACAGGTCAGGACTAGTCACCCAGCTTCTCTATCTAGCCCATTGGAATGCCCCAGGCCTAGCCTCTTACCCCCTTCCTTACTCCCCTGTATCTTACAGAGAGAAACAGTCCATGCTCTGTCCCTCCCTTGCACACCTTTCCCAGGACTCCCCCTTCCTCAGCACCAGCCATCCTTCACGGGCACATCTGAGTCCATGCTGAGTTCTATCCCCCTCACCACCCCCCCTCCCACACACTTTGCTTTTGCCCTGGTGAAGGCAGGTGTAGACGACAGTAGAAGGGATAAAGCTGACAATTTGGGTGGCGGGAGCCCTGGGTCCCTCTCTCCTCACGGACTCCATCTCCGGAAGAGAAGGTGGTAGACTGCATCTCATTGCTGTTCTACAACGACACACACCGTCTCTCTGCTCAGCCACAGAGCCCGACTCCAGGTGATTGAAAACACAGGCAAGCATCAGGAGGTAACACTTAGGCTGGTTGAAAGAACAGAGCACTGAAATCAATGCCCAATCTCTGAACCTGAACTTCCCACCGCAGCTGCTACAGGATGGTTGGATCCCTGGCCACCAGCGGCCCGGAAGATGTGGCCCTGCAAACTGAGGCTGCAATTTCTGTGTTCTGTTTTCTGATAAAGACCTAAGTGAGGCCACAGGCAGCAGAGTGCTGCAATTCTTCAATAACACTGAAGTCTGTGATTGTCCTCCAAGGAAAGGAGAACCGTGTGTGTAAAAACTCACACAGCTTCTTCTCAGCACAGCCCTTCATTATCCAGTGAACTGCGCGGTGGGGTGTGTGTGTGTGTGTGTGTGTGTGTGTGTGTGTGTGTGTGTGTGTGTGTGTGTGTGTGTGTGTGGTGGGGGTGTCCACTGAGGTCAGCATCACACAAATGCACTGAGTGCTCTTGGCAAACACAGACCCCAAAAGATGGTCTCTGGGGTTTGGGGGAGGAAGGAAGGACACAGGCAATTTGGCTTTGCAGACTTTTGAGTTGTTTTAATATTTGCAGCAAACATGTTTTGTTTTCATAATTAAAAAATAACCACTCATAAATCTTACGAATGCCTTCTCTTTCAATAAACTTCGAGGTCTCCAAGAGCTGTAAGATTCTCGGGGACCATCCAGTCCTGTCCCCTCCCTGACAGAGAAGGAAATCTGGCTCACAAGAGGGATGACTAATCCAAGATCACTCAGCTCAAGATCACACATCAGACAGAAGCCTTGGAACCCATTTCCCGGACACTGTGGTCTCTACAACTGTTGGACAGCAAATCCAACTGGAACGTGGGCTGTACTAGCAAATGTGGCCTGTGATCCCCCTCCCAAAGGGGAAAAGCAAATAGGATTGTAAAAAGCAAACCTGAGATGGGACAGGTTTATTTGTTTTGGTTTGTTTTTTTGAGATAGGGTTTCTCTGTGTATCCCTGGCTGTCCCGCAACTAGCTATGAAGACCAGACTGGCCTCGAACTCACAGAGATCTGCCTACTTCTGCCTCCAATGTGCTAGGATTAAAGGTGTGTGCCACCACCACCACCACCTGGTGAGATGGGACGGTTTTGAATGGGCTTGTTAAAGCTCGAGAATGAACTAAGAAAATCATGAAGGGTCAAGGAAGCAAACCTACGGCCTCTGCATCGTGTTTCTAGTCTTTTACTTATGAATTGAGGGGGTGGGTGGTTGAAAGAAATTAGATTACTCCAAGGAAGGTGAGGAGGTGTGAGAGGATGTTTGCTGAGATCTACAGCTCTCCCCCTCCTTTTTTGTTTGTTTGTTTGTTTGTTTCGAGATAGGGTTTCTCTGTGTAGTTTTGGAGCCTGTCCTGGATCTTGCTCTGTAGCCCAGGCTGTCCTCGAACTCACAGAGATCCGCCTGCCTCTGCCTCCTGAGCGTTGGGATTAAAGGCGTGTGGCGCCGCCGAAACCACTGGGCAGCTTTCCCTTTTTCAAGCTCCAGGAAAGACCCCCAAATCTGAAGAAGATGGGAGAGCTGCGGAAGACTCAGTATAACGGGAGGCCCACAGGAAACCATGCAAAGACGGCAGGTATTGAGGCGAAGGCGGAAGGGCAGCCTGTCCCTCTAAGCTGGATAACAGGGTTTGGATGTGGTTTGTGCCCCAACGGCTTGTGCACTGGTTCGTATCCAATGTGACCGCGGGAAGAGGTGGAAACTCTAAGAGTTGGAGCCCCTGAGAGGTGTGGGTCGTTGAAGTCACAGCCTTCAGAAGGGATTAAAGTAAGTCCTTTTTTGTTGTTTGTTTGACAGAGTCTGATCGTGTAAGGCCTCTCCTCTACGGTTTCCGCCCTCAGTCCTGGAATCTCCGGTGTGTGCCACCATGCCCGACTTACAGGGGTTCTTTTCAGAATGGGTTGCCCTAAGAACAAGCCCAACCCTGGAACCTCCGCCATGAAAAAGCAACAGCCGGGAGCACCCTTGCTGCAGCTGAGCCAAGCCCTGAACCTCCCAAACTGGAAGCTAAACAAGCTTTTCTTTATGGAAAAAAAAATGTTTTTTTCCATAATGAAGTTGTCTGCCTCGGTTACCTCCTTATGGTGAAGAAAAGCTAAGATACTAGAGAAAATGAGAGATCTGTACCACCCCAGCCCATTGTTTACTGGTTTCAAATGCTGGCTCACAAAGTATCAGCAAAATGACCTATTGATATGAAGAAAACAAAGGGAATCTTACTGAAGCCAGGGAAGCCTGTATCCGGAATCTTCATAGCGTCCAAGAGGGCATTAGGCAAGTGGAAATCCTGCTGGGGTTCTGAAGACTGAAGATGAGCCATCAGCTTGGGAAGGCTCTGGGAGAGATAGATAGCTTTGGGCTGTCTTGGCCCTTTGTGATCCGCAATGGCAACCTCAACAAGAAGTAACCCTTTCTCACACTGATAGGTCATCACAGTCAGGCTGAAGGAGGAAGTATTTGGTACCTCCTTCTGAATGAAGAAAGTATTTTTAAAATCCTTAACAAACTTTTCTTCACATCCCATTGGCTAGGCTAGGGTCACAACCCCATATCTCAGCCAATCACTGTCAAAGAAGAGAGAGAGAGGCGGGCTAAATGGGATTAAAATTAATCACCACACGTAAGAGGTGAGGCACCCAATATGCCAAGACAAACATCAGGTACTGATTCGCAAAAAAAAAAAAAAAAAAGGAAAAAAAAAAAAAAAACCAAGACAAACATCAGGTACTGATTCGCAAAAAAAAAAAAAAAAATAAAAAATAAAACAAACAAAAATCAACATGAAATTATTACTATTTTTGTAATTCCTCTTAATGCCAATTGCAGAGAGCAGGGTAAATGGGACAAGTAGTAAAAAAAAAGGGGGGGGGGTACTATAGAGTGTGCTAGTCACACAGTAGGGCTTGATTTCAGCTCATATTCTATTTCTAAAGTTCTTTCCTATTTGAGAATCTTGGTTTTGTAACTTGCTGCTCCTTTTCTTAAATAAAAAAAAAAAAAATCAGTACTTTTCTGGACTTGCCTTCAGTCTGGTTTTGCTCTCCAAACTCCCCATGCCCACGGTTACAATCAGCCCTTCGTGACAGACAATTTGAGCGTGTGGACACAGTCCCAGACAGTAAAGACAAGCAGCTAATTGCCTTTTGTTCTCTCCCACACCTTCCTGTAAAACAAAAAGAAAGAGAAACAAAGTCAGCTGCGGACGCCCGGGCTTAAAGAATACACCTGCTTTGATTCTGCCCGGCACCAGGACTTTCACGGTCCCAAGGGGATGGGATATATGAGGGACTGAAATATGGGGGAAATAAGCTTGATGGGTGGGTCTCTCCTATCTCTTGGAGGTTTCTGAGAAAAATGAAGATGGCCTGAGTTATCTTTAGTTAACTAGCCTAAGTTGGTAGCCCAAACCAAACCTGCCTCCATTCCTAGGCCCTGAAGGTCAAGACACTGAAAACAGATGGCTGGATCCTCACCTCTCTCATATGAGACAGGGGCCTGCTTCTAACTGCCTCTTCCAGTAAGGCCCATCCACTGAGGATCCCACACACACACACAAAAGAAAAGAGCAGGTTATATTCTGGGCAAACAAAAATCATGAAAGACAAATGTCTACCCTGTGGCCTCTGAAAGTCAGCTGCCCCTCCCCCACTGCGCTTCCCCACACTGCCTTTTCCCCTCTGCCCACGACTCCCAGTCCCACTCGATGGGTTCTCACGTTCTCCCGCTGAGTTCATCTACGGACCATGCTGAGAACTGGCCCAGTGAGCAGCGAGGAGGGAGGCAGGAGGCAGAGACTCCGTCTGTCTGTCCGTCTGTCTGTCCGTCTGTCTGTTGGGGACAGCTCATCGAAGGAAGAGGAACCAGGGCCCAGCATCTGAGCATGCTATATACACAAAAGCAGAAGTCACCAGACCAGGCTGTGTGGCAGGCTGAACTGGAGACGGAGAGGACCGAAGTCAGGTGGCATGTGGCACTGGCCACGTCCCAGGGGGCATGCTAACAAGCACCGCAGTGGAGAGTTGGCGGAGGCATGCCAGCAACAGACAGGCTGCCCAAGGGTGCCGAATTAGAGGCCGCCCAGCCACGCCCAGGTGCTGAAGGCACAAGCCCTGAAGCCTAAAAGTGAGGAGGTGACAGAGAATAGGATGGGGAACTGCCCTCAGAAAAGTCCCAGTAACACTGATGGGGGGGGGGGGTATGGCGCCCACAGAGCCACCCGTGAGAACCCGGCTGCCTAGACTCTGTAAGGGAACGAGAACATCCCGGGGAGTCACTGCTGTTTCATTGTGTGTCTATGCTGTTTCATGCGTGTGTGATTTCGTTTAGCCCTACTGCGTGAGTTACAATCTCTAAAAAATGGAACCAGTACGAGATACAGCTATCATACAGATACATATATCAACATAAATACCAAGTTTAAAGACGTTTGGTAGAAGGGATTGGCTTCTGCAATGACGGAGGCTGGCGAATTCAAAGTCTGAAGAGCTGATAAGCCAGTTCCAGTGGGCAGATTGGCAGCTGCCATAGGAATGGGAAGAGCTGGGGTCTCACTCCTAAGGCCAACGGGCAGGGAGATTTCTTTCTTCCCTGGGGAAGAGTCAGTATTTGTCTATACAGGCCTTCAGTGGGTTAGATCTGATACTCCCCCCAGACACACCCATACAGTCTCTCTCTCTCTCTCTCTCTCTCTCTCTCTCTCTCTCTCTCTCTCTCTCTCTCTCTCTCTCTCTCTGTCTGTCTGTCTCTGTCTCTCTCAAGCGATTAGTCCATGCACTCTCTGGCCTCACAGAAGGACCGTTGCTGGGATTGTGGAGGTGAGTTATTATAAAAAGGAAATATCAGGAAATGCTTGCCTTGTGGTCACACAAGCTATGGGATGAGTAGTGGAAGGTGGAGTTTGGTAAGGTAAACTGAGGCAGACCAAGGGACTTTGAAAGACAGAACAAGTTATCTGGACTCTGAAAAACGTGTTTAAAATCTGCAATGATGGTAGAACCTGGGAGAGATCTACCCGGGGAATGAAAGGGTCCCTTCGAGAAATCCTCCAATCTAACAGTGGGAACAAGAGCATCTCTGATTCTTTCGCCTGCTCTGGAGACCCTTTTCCTCCTGTTGGGTTACCTTGTTCAGCCTTGATAGGAGGGCTTTTGCCTCGTCTTATTGTATCTTGTTTTGTCCTGTTTGGATATTATCTCTTAGAGTAGTGCTGTTTTCTGAAGAGTAAATGGAAGGGAAATGGATCTGGGGGACAGGGGAGGTGGTGTGTGCGTGTGCGTGTGCGTGTGCGTGTGCGTGCGTGCGTGCGTGCGTGCGTGCGTGCGTGCGTGTGTGTGTGTGTGTGTGTGTGTATGTGTGTGTATATGAAGGAGTGGATGGAGGGGAAACCGTGGTCAGGATGTATTGTATGAAAGAAGGATCTATTTTCAATTTAAAAAGAAGGGAGGGAGGGAGGGAGAGAGAGAGAGAGAGAGAGAGAGAGAGAGAGAGAGAGAGAGAGAGAGAAAGTAAAATGAAGGCAAAGGAAACCTCACCCCTGGACGGTGGTGGCTGTCCATGGGTAAGTATATTCAGTGTATTTGGCTTCCAGATGAAGTCCAGACAAGATTTTGTGACAAGGTAGACAAAAATGGCTACCCTGGAACAAGGACACCTCTGGGTTGTGACCATTTCCTCATCTTCCCCTACCCCCTTAGCACACAGCACAGCCTACAGTGACCCTGAAGAGACCCATGGAAGGCTCAGCTCAGCAGCTGGGGCAGCAGAGGCTCACCATGTAGGGACTTCACTCCCTCCACTTCCAAGGAGAACCTTCCAGAACATTTTGAAAGTGACTCTGGAGGACGCAAGGGTAGAGTAACTAGTTGATGGAGTCTAAATGCGAGCATCTGTAGACGCAGCACAGTAGAGAAAGAAGAAGAACAGTCTCAGCATTTGAAAAGGCTGCACAGTGAACACCCCATGGTGCGGTCCCTCTCTCCCTGCAAAAAAACAGACAACAGCTCAGAAGCCCTCACCTTGGGAAGAGGTTTGAGAGGCAGAAGATCAAGGAAACCAGCCTGGCAGCGTGTCAGTCTGGGAACTTTGGCTCCCAGGAGGACATTGCTCAAAGGCGAAAATCTCTCCTTCCTAGTTGGGGTTCAGAGAGAAAAGAACTGGTGTGACTCATATTCCTCCACTTAGCTACAGAGGGTGTGGTCAGAAGCTTCGTCCACTGGTACCTGATGGTTCTGGACCATGAGTCTAGAGGGAAGTTCTGTGAGGAAAGAGGGTGAGGGAGAATGAAGAGGAAAGCCATGGGAGCCGTTCCAGATCCATGGCCTCCAGAGGGGAGGCAAGAACTGCCATCCCCCAAGACCAGAAATCACAAGGGCGCCAACACCCCCAAAGGCAAACCGAGGCCACATTCCAACCATTCCAGTCCCTGCCCCTGGAGAGAAAGCAAAGCAACTTTAGAGGGCAAGCAGAAAGGAGAATTTCACCCATTCCACTCACACCTCCAGACCATCTTGGCACCAGGTGAGATGTGGGCTAGACCTCTCAGTGGAGGTTACAAAAAATGGTTCATGCCCTCTAGGAGTTCCACGGGCAATGGGGGGACAGCAGGAAAATGGGCATCTGTCCAGCAGGCTCATACTACACAGAGCCCTGAGGAGAAACGCTGACCCCAGAAAGACCCTTAGAGCAGGCCTGGTGATCACCAAGTGAACAGGGTAGGGAGGATGACCCAGGTCAGACAGCTGTGAGCCATGTGGACAGCTGAGGTGAGGGTGGAGATGTGCTCTGGGGCCAGGCTGAATCTCACAGTGTAGTTAAGTAGATCAGTCAGGGATGGTGTTGTGCTCCAGGTGGAAGCTGCCACCTTCTCGGAGGTCTGGAACAGAGGTAAAACCATCTGAAACTAGCCGTTCTTTTCCAGCACACCTTCCTTCCCAGGTTCCCTCCAGCTACCTTTGGCTGTTCTCTCTCTTCATGGATCTCACCTTGGACTAGTGATTTCCTGCAGAAAGAGGGGTGTTGGTGGCCTTGGGTGGGTAGTGGATTCTGTTGTATACTGACTTTTATTTCCTAAAGCAAAGTCTAGAAGCCTCGTTCTTGTGTCTACTACCTTCCACACAGTGGACACAGCCATCTGCCCAAGGTGGTCCCCATTTCCTCAGTGGACCTTCTATGGCACAGCCACCCAGTCACCCCAGTTTGGACACACCTCTCCAGTACCAGCTCACGTTCTCTTTGCCTCGGCTCTGCACTCCTAAAAGACACCAGTCCATGTTTGTCAGAGTTCTCCAGGAAAACAGACAATGGGGTGAGTGTGTGTGTGTATGTGTGTGTGTGCAGATTGAGAAGGTGGGTTACTTTAGAGAAATTAGCTCATGTGGTGGGAAGGATTAGCAAGTCAAAACCCTTCAGGTCAGGATGGCAGGCTGGAAATGTTGGATACAGTTGATTTTGCGGTCCAAATCCAAACTCCAGATGTCCTTTTCCTTGGGGGACTGCCTTTTGAGTGGAGGAGACTTGTCCACATCATTAGAGATGACATGCTTCAAAGTCTACTGATTTATCATTTTTTACATCTTTAAATTGCCTTCATAGCAACATCTCAAGTGCTGAGTGACTAAAGATCTAGACACTACGGCTGTACTAGTTAGGTTT